ACTCTCGCGGATATAGTCCGCCGCCTTCACTTTCCAACACGCGTCCATCTTTAACGCAACCGATCATCAATCGCTCCGTATCTTCTTTTTCTTCTTCTTCTTCTTCTTCTTCTTCTTCGAGAGAGAGAGAAGCGGTCTCTGCTAAAGGTAAGTCGTCCCCTCCGCTACGATCGATGTTAAATGTTAAATATAGGGAGGATATCGAATTGTATTGCACGAAGAATACGAAAAGTATTATATTATTCCAGGTAATACGCGTGTATTGGCGAGGACAGGGCGTTGAACAGGGTGAGAAATATATTAATAGATACGAGTTGAAACGAGTATTACGGTTGGCGATATATTATTTTGCTAGTTTCGCATTAGCGCGAGAATACCTCGTACGATTAATGGGCTTCGAATGAGCCATAGAAGGCAACGACTCGCAGCTGTTACACACTGCCACGGTGAATAATTAGCGGCCATAGTAATTTCCCGATCGTTAATAATCGAGCGTTACGTATACGTACGTATATACGATAAAATGAAAATGAAAAGCAAAGCGCGATTAAACACGGCCTGCTTTGGGGAGGAAGGAAGTGTAAAAAAGTATGAAATAAAAGTAACATCTGCGTACCATCGTGAATTCGTCGTAGAGGTAGGAAATCTCCGGATAGCTTATAAAATCGACCATGGTGGCGCGCTACGACGTCCAACAATTATCACCGTCGTCGTGGAGGGCAAGCAACAGGCACGATAACACACTCGATAAACGACGAAGAGTCGTCGCGAGATGCAAAAGTGGCGCGATCAACGTGGCCTGGAAGCGGTTCCCCTCGAAACTATAAGACGAAATATTTGAAATACCGGCGTTTTACTTGGAACCGCTATTGCGCAGGATCACTATACATATATATATATATATATACATATACAGCACCGTTTCACTTTATATAATATACTTCAAACACAAACACTTTGCGGCGCGATTCGATTCGATCCACGAAGGAAAGAAGAATCCACACTCGCGCGTGCACTTTTTCTCCTCCTCCTCCTCCTCCTCCCCCTCCTTCTTCTTCTCACGATTCACACGACACTGAACGTTCGTTCGTTCGTTCGTTCGAGAATCACTCTTGATTTCACGACACTGGTCCGAATCTCGCCAGAATACTTGATACGTACTAACTCCGGCGAAAGCAAAAGAAAGAATGGGAACAAAGAAAAGGGCACGGAAGGGCGCGTATAACTGCGACTGGCTTATTCTCAGGCCCGTATCGCGCAAGTTGGAAAGAAAGGTCCACGAGGCACCCACGAGGGTAGAAATGGGCGGCTTTATGCGCAGACGGCGAATGAAACAGAGACGAGAGATATATACGTATATATATCTGTGTGTGTGTGTGCGTGTGTGTGTATATATATATATACATACAGAGAGAAAACGAGGACTCGCAAGCCCGCGCTTGCGAACGAAGCACAAGGGAGAGTAAGCTCGGTCACTGAGGCGTCGCCACTCGGCTTGCTTCCTACGGAGTGACTCCCTCCTTCGCCTCTAGTCCCCTACCATTTCCATTCCATCCCTCCTTAACCTTCTCCTCCACCTTCTTCTTCTTCTTCTTCTTCTTCTTCTTCCTCTTCCTCCTCCTCCTTCTCTTCTTTCTCCTTCTTCGCGAAAACGACCCCTCCTCGTCGCGAGGCGTAACCACGGAAAGTTACCCGTAATTGTTTGATAGCCGACCAACCAACGCCTCCTCCCATAATGTAAATAATAAATACCGATCTGTCGTGATAAATTGTTCCCAAAGATGGAACGAATTCGTGGAATCGAACGTGGAGTGGCTGTTGCATCCATCCCGATATAGTTTTCGTGTATCGTTCGATAAGAGCGGAATTAAAATAACTAACTCGAGGGAGGGGGGGGGAGGAGAGAGAGATAGATCTCTCGCGGCCGAGGGATTGATTCACCGTCGTCGGAGGATAAATGTTATCGAAGCAAAAAAAATTACGCGAATCCTCGACGCGCGGCGCTTAATGAATTACGAGAAGCGTTGAAATCGCAGAAATTTCATCGGGCTTGGGCGGCACAGGTGCACAGGCGCCAAAGTTGCAAAAACTTCGTTAGGGAGGAATGCAAACAATGGCCGAGCGGTCGCTCGCCTCTTTCCCTCCCTCCGATTTTTTACTCTCCCCCCCTTTTCTTTTGTAGTATCCTTTTCCTCGTGGAAATTCGCGTCCCCCGACGTTTCTTCTCCTTCGAGCCGAGCAAACACCCCATAGCGCAATTATTATAACCCCAATTTGTCGATCCGTCCTTTCGAATTTCATCGTACATCTTATCTCGCCACTTAACCCTGATCCTGAATTTCGACCGTGCCTGGGAACCGATGATTAGTGGATTTCCTCGAAATCCTCTGCCTCTCGTTGTATTCCGTGATTCTTGTGAATCGAGAGAACAAAAAGGATTTCTTTCCTCTTATCGCAACTTACGTATTTACGGTTAATATTGGGATTGAATTTGTACGGTGTATTTGCGTTCGTTTCAAATACCATGGATCGATACCATTCTCGAAGCGAAAAAAGTTAAGCAAAGAAATGTTATATTTCCGATCGAATTCGCCATGGGAATTTTTGTGTCGCCGGGACGAAATACCAGTGAACACCGGTAACATCTGGTGATCTGTTAACGTTGGGGTCGGCTAGACCAACATCGCAGCCAAGACGGAGGCCGAGCTTACGAGCAAAGCAAATAAACAGGAATTAAATCTGGAAGGCTTTATCGCGAACGTTCCGATATTTCTGTATAAAATTATATATATATATATATGTGTGTGTGTGTATATATATACATTATATAATGTAAAATAATATAAAGATATTAAAGAAATCTTCCATTCTTTTCTTTTCGTCAATAACCTAATAGATTTCGTTGACGAATAACGATTCTTTCCCATTCGGCGAATGTCTTTTATTCGAGCCGACACGCACAATCGTTTCCTTTCCACTTTAATTCTCGCGACGCGAACTTTCGAAAACGACGATCGAGAGAAAGTTTCAAGATCGAGTCTCCGGAGAAAAATGTGGTTCTCGACGTAATCGGTCAAAGAGGCGCGACAACGGGCGGAAGTGGGATACGAAATACTTTCTTTCGAGGTTTCGCGTGAGCGCGAACAAGCGCGTGCGCACGTGCAACGATCGCTTCCGCACGGGCTAAGTATAGCCGGTTAGCCACGGGCATTGTTATTGCTTGCACAGCGGGAGCGTTCAGCTTGCGATCCCTGTTTATCAAGGGCTCGCTGCTTGCTCGAGTTATGGTCTCAGGTGCGTTCGAATATTACAGCTTGGCTCGGTCAAATGTTCAATCGCATCCTAAATGCGAATCGATCCACCCAAGAATTCTTTTTATCCCCTTTCTATCCCACGAACAATGATCGCCACCCAGATCGTTGATCGCCCAGGATCGACGTGGAAGATAAATCTGATTTGCAATTCAACGATTCCACTTTCTCCTCTAGTGATAATTACTCGCGAAATTACGAAATTTCGAATAATCCCATACGACATTGTCGCCTTGGAAAAATTCACTCGGATCGGTAGGGAGAAATATAATACGGAGGGAGGGCCATAAAAATGTGAAAAACGGTGGAAACGGTGCGCGTGGACGGGAACGGTGGAAGCAATTGAGGAGGATTTTTCTTTCGTGTTTGGTCAGCTCGCGTGCACGGGGCGTATGGCCGGAAAAGTGCGTCCGTATACGCGTCTGCCTCTTCATAAAGTCATAACTCAGCCAAACCCCCGGCACATCTCTCGGCATAACATTTAAAACGATTTCCGCTGGCAGCAGTGCCAAGACCGGAGCTGCGTTGTTTCGGGGATAGATTAACGAAACATAACGCCAGTACTCGCTACGGACTTCCAAGGGGTAGGTTGGATAATGGGAAGGGGCGTGTTGGCACTGCTCTGGCAGTTAAGCAGTGTTCAGTGCCGGCACTTGTACTCTTCAGTCCCCACGGCTACGATCGATGCAAATTTTTACGAGAACTGTTCCCCTCCATTTCGCCCGAAAACATCGGCTCGATGATTTTCCGTTCGAAAATACCTTTGCCAGCGAGCTTTGCCAGATCGAAACAGCTGACCGTGCGATTAATCCAAGTACAGGGAAAAATTCACTTCAACTCTGATTTTCAACAAAAATAATCCACGATTATTCCGTAATATACAATAAATGTTAAAATGTATTATTTTTGTACGTGCGAAAAAACGATTCCAACAATTTCTCGATACCGCTGATTCGAGTTACGATCGCGCTCAAAAGATTGGAAGCGTGAAAAGAGGAAATTGCGAAATTCTCGTGTTGACCGGGAATAAGAACAAGCATGGCCATTCCTGGCATTCGTAGAAGGCACGGAAAGTCTGATGATACATCGCGGACTGTACGAGTCGCGCCCTCTGCTCCCTTTCGACCCTTCCTAACTACCCTTTCGGCGGCGTTAAGAGATTAACTTGTCACGCCGGCCCCATTTTAATATTCCGGATCGCGGGGTAAATCGCCAGAATTTGCCTGGAGAGCGGCATACGGCTTCGCAGGCGATAAGTATCCGTTAACGTCACTGCACAATTTGCCTGCTCTACTTTTCCTTCTCCTTTCTCGTATAGAATTGCACCAGAATTACGCCACTTTGTTTTCTCGCACGTTCGACCGTTGTTCGATGAACTCCACCTTTGTACACGAGTTTGTACATCCGAGTCTATTTATAAATATATAAATTTTTACAAATTGCGTCTTGTTATTATTATTCGTTCGTAATCTCCTAATTTCCACGAATCTTCAGCGACCTGTGGCGAATTTGTTTTTCTACAATTACAACGATACGGATGAAAACTCGATCGATTTATAAATCTTTTGCAAACACTTTTTATATTCATTTCGACAGCGTGATGTAACTCGCGTAAAACGAGTCGTTTCGCAGACGAGTGGAAGAAGCCCGAAAGTAGGCAAATTGTGTTCTAAATGCGTAAACACTTACCCCTGGTAAAGTCCGCTTCTCATGCAGAGCGTTCTGGGCACTGATTGCGCTGTCACGACTATAGTAGGTGAGAAATGCACAGCCTGAAACATGGTAGGAAAAAACGGAAAAAACGATTAATCAAAACGGGACGGAGATTTTGCCAGATCGGTGGAAAATAAATCGTTACGATCTCCAAGAGAAATTGTTTTTTTTTTTTTTTTCCTTCTTTTCTCGATCGATCTCGCGCCTCCAGCATTATCGAAACGAAAAGTTTCGAAAAATTTAGTCGAGTCAGAGACATCTCTCTCCGTTGTCCTCCTGTCATTCTCTCCCTTCCTTTTTTTTTTTTTTCGTCGCCTGCCACGCGTTGTAAAAATAACGTAGCTCGAGTTCGTGCCAGTAATTTGTGCAGCGAAAAGTTTCAATCGGTCGTATCTAATTACAGCGATGCATCGATTCGCGTCAAGGATACGCTTTATCGGATAAACCCGACGTATACGTTTTATCTTCCAATTAGTTTGCTACTATCGCGTATATCGCGATATTTTCGATATTTACTCGTTCCTCTCTCTTCTCCCTCTTCCCCTTCCTCCCCCCCCCCTCTTTATCTATCATCCTTAATAGCAACAAAGAGAACGACGATCGAACGATCGATAGAATCAATTTCGAAGATAGCGAATCACGAATATTTTAATATTTTCCTTCCATTCTGCCTTGTCCTCCGATTGAAATATATATCTTTTATTATTTCGTCCGAGAAATCGTTCATCAACGATATTCCAATATTTTTCGAGATTATAAAATGATTTTCACTCGTTTTATCCGTTCGTTCCGTTAATAATATCGACGTAGAGACATATAAAACTTACCCTGGTCGAATGTTGCACTCACGCAAACTTTCCGCCGGGCTCAGAATCAGCCCGTTACAAATCTCGTACGTAAATAACGGTATATTAGTCACACTTTGCCATTTTTTGCCACGAGGTCGGTCGAGAACGGTAGTTAAAATAGTAGTAATAGCATCTATTCCCCAAGAAATTCTATCGACCATCCGAACGTTGATCATCCCTCGATTTTGGATCGCTTACTTCCCTCCTTAATTATCTTCTCTAATTTATTTAGCTTATTTTTAAGCGGCAATATCGTAATACGACAACCTTTTAATCGAACGTAGTCAACGCATCGATTAAAATTAGGAGGGGGGGGAATTCGTAGTGGATGGTTAACCGAGTTAATCGAGTCGTTGGTTCGAGGCCCGGCTTGGAAATCGCCTCGAGGCAACGGAAGTATCGGCATTCGCACCGTCGTAAAATTAATTTTCCAAAACGACTGGGGGGAGGGGGACTCGGTTTAAGAACCGAGGCCGGTATAGCGGGTTAAAACGATGGTAATTAACCCTAGAATTGGACGGTGGCTGAACCAGACCATTATCGGCTATCGCGCTGTCGAGCAAACCTCGTGGAACCGCCTTCCTATCGGAACCGAGGATTTATTCAAAGGGCCTGTTCCCCCCTATCTGATCGTCATTTGACTATCTCAACGCACCGAGATGGATGTAGGCGAGCACGCGCGGCGCAACACTCGTGGACGGAACTCGGTCTAAGATCGCTTACTATTTACGACACGACATTATCGCGACTGCCCGATAGCCTTCATCCGTCTATAATCACCACGAATCCATTAACTATCGCTCGCGCAGATAATCGGGCACACGTCCATCCTTTATTTAAGTCTTTGACCTATTTCGTCGCGATTCATCGTTGATGATCACCCGTGATAAATGTATCTCTCGTGTTCCTGTTTCTTTCCGAAACTGAAAATTAAAAGTAAAGTTTTTATCTACGTACTTATCTACGTGGCAAACACAGTACAAACGTGTGTTTAAACGATAAACTCCAAATACGAAATGGGTAGGGAAAAACACGTTCACGTTAAAAGGCGAAGCGTAAAGATGGAATCCGAATGTCCGAATATTCTCGTGACCGGCGGTGCCGGGCAACGATACCCAGGCAAGCTAACGATAAACGATAGAATTATTCCAAGGTTGAATTAAACGGGCGTGACTTTAATCCCGACTTACCTGAGATCATCTCGAAATTAAACCTTTGCACCTTCGTGTCGCGAAATCTCTCCCCTTATTTATCGAGCGATAAACAAAACAAGCTCTCGTCGTCGCATCGTTCGAAGCATGCGAAATTCAGATCGATCCTTGTCGTTTCACGCCTCTCCCGCGCCGCCAGACGTTTTAATCTCGCTCTAGACTCGGAGGAGGATGCAATTTCCACGCGATAGCAGGTGGAGTTGCGGCGGTAACGCTCCCTCGGACGGAGAATTACCTCGTCGCGGGCCGGAAAACCCGGGGAGAAAAAGAGAGAAGGAGGGAAGGCGTGGAAACTCGAGGAAATTTCGTGGAAACGACGAGAGACGACGCAATAAGAAAAGACGACGAGGATGTACACTTGCCACGCTCCGTTGTAATTTTTCAACCGCGGCTCGTCCTACCACGCCACAGATTCTCCGAGGAAACGTGGAATTCGGTCCGATCTAACTCGTGTAAAGGCCAGGCCGGGTTAGGGAGGAGCGGATGGATGGAAAAGTTTGCGTCGCCTGCGGCCGGTCACGCCAACCTCTATTCCCCTTCCAAATGGGAATAGAGCGAAATATTTATAAACATCGGCCGCCGCTTATCTTAATTGCATTGGGACAACTCGCGCGACACTCTTATTCTCTCCGCGGCTAATATCCACCGGGAATAGAAAAGTTGGCGAGCCCTGCGGCCCTTCGTGGCGAATTAGCTTCCGTATCAAGAACAAGGGCGAGCTTTCCTTCTTCCCCTGTCTTCTGCCTCGAATCGAATCTGGCGGCGGATAACGCCGCCAGCCATACACCGAATTCGGGGGGGGGGGGAAGCTGAAAGAGAGACGGAGGTAAGTATTTCGATCTCGCGAAATTTACATTTATCGGATTTCTTCTTTCTCGTTACGTTTCTCTTCCTCTCTCTCTCTCNNTCTCTCTCTCTCTCT